CAGCCAAACTCTAGACAAGCTTGCTCCAAGGAAAACCATCACCTGGATTTGTCTGCGGCTGCCGCAAATTGCAGTTAACTTAATGAGCATTTTAGCCATAAAATCACTTGGCATGGCTCAATTGCCACGACGCTGGCAGCCGGCACAATTTATTTGACTGTTAATTAGAAATTTAAATTATGCGCTTAGCCTTTGGCCTCGCAAGAGCCACTTCCTTCGCCGATTCCTCTCCATTCGCCATTCAATTGGCGCTGCACAAAATTAATTGCAGGCAACCAAGGCAGCGGCAGCGGCATCGCCTTGGAGCATCGTTTGCGCCCTGGCAAATTCGAAATAATTTATAATTTGGCACAATTACGCTCAGCCGCAGGCCGTCATCCTTCGTCCTTCGGCGGAGGAGTGCTCCTTGCCGCAGGCCGGGGCCATGAACTACCCTGATCTGCTCCCTGGGTTCCAGTTCGAGTTCGGATGGGGTTTCTCGGTGGCTCGGTGTTATATGGGTTATGTGGGTTATATGGGTCATTTGCCATGCAATTGCACTTTATCGATTTTCCTGCTCGCTGACTGGCTGCCTGGTTGGCCGGCTGTCGGAGATGTAATAAACTTTCACTTGTTTTGTCGCCGTCGCCTCGAAGTGGGAAGCCGGGAAATTGGGGAAAGCGGAAATCATCGGGCGCCGCGGGGAAGTTGCGGACACTGGTAAACACATTGCTCATAGCCAAAACATTTGGCACTTTGCCTCGCTCAGACAAGCAGGATGCACTGTTAGAGGAAATGAGGCCTTAAAACCATAATTAAATTTTTTGTCGAAAATATAATAAATGAACATCTGGCTTAAGAAAATAATATTTCCAAAAATGTATATTGATTATTTGTTAAAGCAACTGCATTCAATAATCTTAACGAATGATATCTCAATGAACATCAGGATTAGTAAAATAATAACAAATCCTAGTAAAAAATTGAATAGTTTCAGCGGATCATTTGTTTTATTAACATATCTGAACATCCTAGCCAAAACAAAACCACTTCATAGTTTTATCGGATCAAACTCTTCCCGAAATATTAGCACAATCTTAATTAAATAGGTCTAGCTTTGTTATAAAATACATACTTAAATTAAAAGTTTTAAGGAAACCTAGAACCAGAATTATTTTCCAGCAGCAATGAAAATACTTCAGTTAAAAACTAAAGTATTGTTACTTTGCTAAGCTGAAGCTTAAATGACCATCAACTCTCGGATTTCCGGATTAGTGTGAGATAAATCCCCCTCTTTTTTCTCTGTGTGCAGCTAGCAGCAGGAACAGATCCAGCTGGGATTGTCAAGTGGTTTTTGGCTCGGTACCGAGATTTGGCTCCGCTTTTGTGATTTCTTTTCTGCTGGTCCATTGTTTGCCCAGAAATTGGGTCAATAGCCTTTTCGGGGGAGGTGCCCTCGTGCTTAGCCCGCAGTATCTGATGTTCCTGATTTTGCTGCTCCTGCTGATGATGATGATGATGATGATGATGATGATGATGATGATGATGATGATGATGATGATGATGATGATGATGATGATGATGATGATGATGATGATGATGATGATGATAATAATGATGGCAATGGCGATGGCGATGGCGATTCCTAGCCATTGTTTCAACTTCTGTGCATGTAATTTCCTACTGCTGCACATGCGGCACAAGTGCTGTGTTGTTGGTTTTTCACTTTTGTTGCTGCCACACTGATTACTGCTGCTTGTTAGTGCGTTTGACTGTGCGGTTTTTATGCTCGTTTACATGCATGTATTTGTATACCAAAGTCCCTGCCAAGCACTAAGCACTAAGCAACCGAACACCCAAACACCCACCCTGTGCACTTTTGCCAAAATACACATTTTAGCTTAATTTGCAACTTGTTAGCTGGCAGCAAAACAATCTCCCGTCGGTCTCGCCAAAAACTCATGTGTAAACAAATCAAACTTGAAACTAAAGCTTACCCCCCGAAACATTTCGCAATAATGAGCTATGCTTGGGGGCCAAAAGAAGAAAACTTGGTCTTGGTCCGCCAGCAGGAAGGCAACAAGTGGGGCAACTTTGTTAAATCAGCTTTAAGCTGCAGCTATTTGTGGCCCTCCTTAGCAGCTCAAGATATGCCCATGTTTGCCAAGTTCCCTTTTCATTTCCAAGAAACAAAGGTCCCATCCACTCCACTCGCCATTTCGGATTTAGCCGGCGAGCGTTGTTTAAAATGCGTAACCATATCCCGGCCATGAATTTATGCAGTCAACTGTGTAAAAGGCGTAAAATGTCCGAAGACCATCAGTGGCATTGTGGGTGGTGACATGGCTTGGCGTGGCGTGGCATTTGTTTTGGTTGGAGCAAACCGCCGCAAGGACTTCTTCTCCAGCCTCTTCATTTATTTCATGCTCCATTGCATTGCGATATGTGTCAAGAAGCGGACATCAGGCACTCGGAAAAATAAATGATGAGATACACGAGTTAATATGATGTTATTTTAAAGATCTAGGTCTTCTCCAATATAACTTTTTAATTTATGATCCATTTTTCAAAATTCGATTTCCTTGTGCAAAACTAGTAAGTTATAAAAATATTTAAATACAGTAAATGTAAAATCAATGATATAAATAGAACTAAAGATCGATTCGGAATTCTGATTAAGAGCTCGAGGACATTTGGAGTATTAATTAAAGATATTTCACAAATAATGTTTTAAATAACAAAATATGATTAGACATAAATAACAACTTTATAAAATTGTGTGAAGATCCAAATCAAAATCATTTTGGTGGAAAATGGAGATTACAAAAATGAGATTTCACTAGTTTTTAATTAAATGTTGAAATATTAAATCAAAAATTAAAATATTGTTCACACGTAAAAATTAAATTTAGAGGACAATAATTTATAATATATATTTATAATTTATAATTTATAACTTTAAATTATTTGTAATCAAAATTATTTATTTTCACATGTATTAGAATTCTCCATATGTTAATTTCATTATTAGGCGTATCAAATTGCCTTTCACCCACAAATTTCAGTTATAAACCTATTTTTTCTCTGCACCTTAACATCCAGGACTTGGGAACCACATATGACAGCAGCTCGGACTACTTGAAGGACTTATTTGGCCAGTCCGTAGTTCCCTTACTCGTTGTTTATATTCAATTACCAATTCGAATTCGAATGCTGTCATTGCCCCACTCTACTCCAATCCACTACACTCCACTCCACTTCAGTATCAGTCCATCGCGAGCAGCTGCAGCCGTTTGTCTTGCCAATTGGCCAAAGCCATCATCAAACCGAACCCAACTCGTGAGCATTATTGTAATTCAGTCAGCCACCCAGCTACTCGCTCTCGATTTTAAATTGTTTGGAAGCAATAAAAAGTTTATCAAGTGTAAAAGGGAAAAACAGCGAAAAAAACGAAGCCCTTGACTTTCGGCACTCAGTGTTAATTGTTTTGAGCTTTAAGTTGGTAGAAAAATGGTGCCACATTTCAAGGACCTGGCAAAACAAATCTCTCAGGGGCTTTATTCAAGGCGAAAGTAAACAAAACAATGGCCCCAACACCCAACACACAATGCAAAGAGCGAGAGAAAGAAGGAAAAACGCACAACAAATAAATCAATTGGCTTTGCCTAAAACGTTTGAAATTGATTTCAAGTTCTTCGGCCCATTGTTTTTATATGCAACAAAGGGACAATTTTTCATTTCCAACGACAACAATAAAAGCAACACAAGGTCCAAGCTTTCATGGTGCTACACACACTGGAATAGACACACACACATGCGGTCGATCCCTGGGCATGTAAATTGGCCGCATTGTTTATGAGCCCTGCTCCGTGCTCCTTTCTCCTTTCTCCCTTCTCGTCGGACAACCAGTCCTTCCTCGTCCTTCCACAGACTATCACTATTGATTGTCAATTCAGTTTAAGCGCCGGCCATAAATTCAGTAAATGAGCAGAGGTCCAGCCGAAGCTGCCGCCATCCTTCTTAATTTGCTGAGATGCACAAAAACAATTTTCAAATCGCACGAATGACGCCCACAATGCGCACAAATACAGATTCGATTTTATTTGGCTAATACTTTGGTTGATTTTAAACATTTTGGATGTTTTTATACAAATGCGTGCATAAATTTAACTAGGATAAGTGGGTAAGTCGTCAATAAATTTGCATAACTACATTTGCTTTACGATTCTTAATATTAATTTATAACAAACTTTTGAAAATGTCCTTAAATTTTCAAATTTTTACGGGAAAAGTTTATAAATATGTCTTTAAGATATTTATTGTCTTTTTATTAAAAAAAATTGTGCACATTTTTAGATTTCATATTTTTGGATAATAGTTTGGTTGATTTTTAACACCATGGTTGTTTTTATAACCGCGTGTGTAAATCAAACAGTATAAATTTTCTTTATAAGTCTTTATGTCAAACATTTTAAAATATACTTTAATGTAAATTTAATGCTATATATTGAAAAAAATTAAATTCTTAGCCTTATCCCTGTTAATCTTTAATAATTTATTTTGCCAATTTTTCAACCATTTTACCTATGACTTTTTAGTTAAATTATTATTCACTTTAAGAACTGCACTGCTTTTTTATTAATTTAACTTTTTGTTAAATTTAAAGATTTGTTTTTAGACTGGAGATTATGTTATACAACTACATTTTTTACCCCTGCGATTAACACCTCAATTTTTTCAAACTCCCAATTGGATAGTCAGTGGCTATTGGGTTGCACTTCAAATGTTTGTTTGCCTGGCGTATGTTTGGTCATTAGACCTGACACATTGTCAACAGGCAACAACTGCCAACTGAGAACCGTCAACTGTTTATGTTTGCCATTTAGCAGGCAAAACATTTTGATTACGCATACGCCATGTGGATCGAAGCGACGTTTGTTGCTTTGACAGGCGCCTCGAATTCCATTGCGTCCATTGCGCCCATAAATAAAAGTCAGCTGCTGGTCATCAGTCGATTGGAGATGCATTCGCTGTTTGTTTGTGTTTCAGCGCTTTGCTTTTTTCGTCAGTTTTCCGATGCTGGAACTACCCTTTGCCAGGATTGTCGCGTGAATGTGATATATCCTGGATTGAAAAAAACCCATCAGCAGTTGCCCGAAAATCAGCGGATAGTGCGTATCATCAATGCCTTCAGGCTAGTCAGGAATACGGAACTAAGACAGCCTAACCAGGATTTTAGCTTTATAGCCAAGGTAAAGGTAGGAGCTACCATACGATGCAGTGCAGCCTTGGTGGCCTCAAGTTTGCTGATTAGCTCTAGTATTTGTCTAGGAAATGGAACCCCTCAGGGACTTCAAATACTCTTTGCAGGCGGTAAAACTTTCGCTGTGGATTCGGTATTAAAACCCGAATTCTGTCCCGAACTGAGTCTGCTCCATTTGATGAACCCTTCTGGAATTAATCCAATTATCTTGTGCCATCAGAACCTTTCGTTGGGCACTAATGTCTCCATGATGATGGCCAGTCCTGATCTCAGCTTTTACGGTCGTCGGCACACTCAAATCATCTCGAATCGTGCCTGCAAAACCACATTTTTGGACGAGGATTCCGTTTATATAACACCCAATATGCTGTGTGCAAAGAACTCTATGAAACCAGAGAAATGTGCCACCTCTCCGGGGGATTCCCTGCTGATAGACCACCAATTGTGTGGCCTAAATATTTATGGTTTTCGCTGTTTAGCAAATGCTGTTAATGGCGATCTGTTCATAAACCTATGTAATCTACAGCCCGTGCTAAGCGATTTGATACGGAAACTTAACGGTTGAGAAAAAAGAAATTCCAAATCAATTAGATACCGATAAAGTTACTTAATACTTATAACTATAAATAGCTCAGTATGGCAGCTATTATGCAGCTAAAGTGCCTGGTTATTGTTTTAGCAATTTCCCAAGGAATCTGTACAGATTTAGACCTTTCGCAGTCGGTGCCACAGGTTAACCTGGGTGATGTACCCGCAAATGGACAATCCTATCAGATAGTTCGCGTTATCGAGTATATAGTGCCGTATCCCTACCAGAGACCAACAAAAATATCAGCTAGAAGTCCGGATGTAGAAGCCAAGGAACCAAACAGCCTGGAAATTATACCCGCTGAAATCGAAAGTTTACTTACCAGTGAACAAACTACAGAAAAGCCAAAGACAGTCAAGCATTTTCTGATGAGAGTACTTCACGAGGACAAGGTCATTTGCAGTGGCGCTCTAATCTCCAGCCGATTGGTTTTGACCTCAGCCCATTGTTTTCCCAAAAACCGTAAGCTTGCAGCACAGTTTTACAAATTGCAGGCCAGCCGAAGTCGAATATATCCAGTGGCTAGTATAATACTTGGAGCCATTGAGGACATGGCCCTCCTTAAGCTCAAATTTCCGCTGCAGGATGCCTTCCTCCAGCCAATCGAACTCTGTGACACTCCACTTCGGCGAAATGACAATGTCACCATGTACATGTCGCAGCAGCACTTGCGTTTCCTGCGCACCAAACTCATCGCCAACAGGAACTGTAAGAGGAGCTATGCCCAGGACGAGAACGCCTTCATCACCAGGAACATGTTGTGTGCCCAAAACTCGAACAGACTGGTCGACTGCCAGACGGCCAAGGGGGACCTGCTCCTCCATCAGGATCGGGTGTGCGGCGTCGACATCTACGGACAGCACTGCTCCGATGGAGCCGTCAACGGAGAGCTCTTTGCGGACGTGTTTAAGGCTAGGACCCAACTTCAGCGATTGATTGAGCGGTATTCAATGTGATCTACAAATATAGTTTATTTGTTTTTATATTATACTTATTTAAATATTTAAATTTTAATAAAAAGAAAGTGTCAATTAATTTCAAACTAATATCTTGTGTTTTTAAACCAAATAAATAAGTTTGTAGAAAAAATGTTTTATGAAAATAATGCGATTATAATAATAACTAGATGAAAATATTTCTTTTAATACTTAAATTTAAATGCAAAGAAAATTTTAAATATATTTTAATTAATGTTTTGCTTCTTTAAATTAAATATATAGTTTTGTTCAAAGTAATTTACTTAGCTAATCATTAAAATATAGCTAAGTTGTGTAAACTAATTTATATAGTTAACTAAACTCAATTAATTTAAAATTGAAATACTTATGTGGGTAAAGAAAAAAGAAACAGAAAAGAGAAAGAGAAATCGCCTGCAAATAATTAATTAAAACATATATTTTTGTTAACTTTAATTAACATTTCCAGCTAATAAGCAATTTTAAAGTTGTATATTTTTTTGTAAGATATAGTACATTTTGCCTGAGATTTGCCTATCGCAGTTTAATGATTTTCAGCTTAGTAAAAATGTGCATAGTAAAGTAAGAATACAGCGATGGCAAATACATTTATTGCCGCTATGCAGTGTTCGTGCTCTGCCCAAATCAAATCAATCTCGCTAAACAAACATTGCAAATAAAAGGGCCACAGTGGGGCGGAACAAACAATGGTAAATGGCAAATGAAGGGAGACTGCCTTCTGTTTGTCGCTGGTAAAATTGAAAGTCGCCGCAGCCGCCAAACAAAATCAGAGGAACGGAACACAAAGAACACAAACTGGCGATGTTTTTTTAACATTTTTATTTTCTTTCAATTTGCGGCTTAAAAAAGTTAACTGTTCCCATCAAAATGCCCTGAACTGCAATGACTATGATGTATGTAAATTTGAGCGAAAAAATAAATGGCAAAAAACAAAAAGAAATTTGTGCGAAAAAAAACGAAAAACAAAAGCAGACACAAACGCTACCAAACCCCCTAAAAACATCATGACAGCAAAAAGGTGTTACACTTGGCTTGAAATTTACACCATCGATGGGCGTGGCAACAAAGGGGCTTCTGTAGCGAAAAGGGGGCGGGCGGGGGGTTGGTAACAGAAAAAACCCCCGAAGCTGTACCGACGGCCATGGCTTTTGGCTTTGGCTTTGCGCTAAAATATGCAATTTTGTCATGAAATATGCACATGTCCACCGCGCGGCAAGGACGACCCACCAGTAACAACAACACCACTATCAGCGCCAGCAACAAAATAAATTTAAAAAGCTACATACATAAATAAATTAAACATTTAAAAATCGCAACGGAAATAATGAAACAAATAAAAGACTTAGACTGAACGAATACCGAAGTGCCCTTCACGAATGCCTCACATAAAGAAGTAAAACTAATCTAACTCAAACCTTTTTAGAAAAAACCATAACAAAGGGGAAATAAGAAAAATATGGCATTTCAATTAAAAACTAAATTTGGTGAAAGCGCATTAAGGTTTCAACCTGGTCAAATTCGTAGTCTGGCTTGACTTTTCCCCAGCCACGCCCAACATTTGACATTTAAATGCGGCGAAGCCTGTCGAAATTGTTGCCAGCAACATCAACGCGAACAACTAAATTTATGTACATAGAAATTAATATTAAAGAAAAAACGAACGTATAAAATAGAGAATTCAAGTGCCGATGATGGTATTAGTGCAACACGGGATAATATTGAAATCGAAAAATGAAAAAAAAACTGTCATAAACAACTTCAACACTCGTGTGATGATAAAAACAATAAAACAAATACATTCCATTTGAATAAAAAATTGTTTCCCCAGGGGTTGAACCACTTCACCCTCTTAACCACCCACTTTATGCCACCCCCTTTTTCCAGCGACCCGCTGACCTACCGCAAATATTTATTGTTTGACAATTTTTATTGCCTACTTTCAGGCGATTGTCGCTAGCGCAGAAAAAGAAAAAACTTTTCAGAAAAAAATTCAAAAGGCGTTAAAATGATTTTGAGAAACTTTTGCCTTATACGTGACTTTGGTCCCAGCATCAGCCTACATATTGTTCAATTTCCGACTGCCGAACGGACCGGACTGAATCAAATAGGTGGCATAAACAGCAGCCGCGCGTTCGGGGACCAAGCAGCCTGTGATGGGTATAAAATAAAAGTTTTCCACTTAAGGTTTATGAAAAGTTTAAGTCCGGCCAAACGAAGGAGAGAGATCCTTTTCCCCCACCGCGGCACATATTCACACCTTCTTCCTACGGAAACGGAAACTACGGTCGAAAAATGATGAATACTGCGAAGTGAGGGGCCCCTTCTTCGATCCCTGGCCGGTACACAAGAATACACTCCAGAGAGGAAAGCCGGCAATGGCCATAATATCCTTGGAACCGCTTGAAGATTTTTCGCAATAAGGAAACCGTGCCCCCCCCACCAAACTTCCTGGCCATAACCACTTAGGAGCCTGCTTTTCCCCGACCAACAACCAACAACCGCCGACGAAGAAAAGTCCCCGAATGCAAATAATAATGTAATTGCCAGCAATTTTCCTCAAGTCTGTTTACCTTTCGCTTCAGCGTTGTTAAAATTTTATGAGATTTAGACTGAATTTTAAAGCATTTACACCTGGCCCGCCGCAATGACAAATGAGCAAATGAATTGAACCCGAATGCGGAGCGCAAGCTAAGAACCCATTTAAGATCCCACCGGCTAATTGCATGTCGGACCCACTAATTGAGTGCAAGTCAAGCAAATCGACTAATTAACAGCGGCATTTCTAAGCGGACTTCAGAGGCCAAAGCCGCTGAAAAGGATATGCAATTTGCACGGCCAGGACACTTGATCTGAGCCAAAGCGGTGAATTGGATGGCTTGCCACAGCGTTCCGGTTTAATCTGTTATTAATTGACTGGTTGACATGCAGCAGAGAATAGGCATTTCCATGGCTAACTGGAGACAAAAATTTTAGGGCTAACCTAAAAAAATGTACAGGAGAAAAGTGCTTGCAAAGATTATAGAATACTTTATTTTATATAGCAATCGGTAGTAAGCCATTCATATTTTTACATTATGCAATACTCCCCATTTCTCTTATCTTATGACCTACATTTAGTTTTAGGTTACTTTAAAACCTATTTGTGTACATGAAAAGATAGATTATTTAGAGCAATAGAACAATTGATTTAATAATATCATCAATAATATTAATATTATTGCTTCGTTAAATAAAAATTAGTATGTAAATAAAATAAAATAAAATAAAATAAAATAAATTAAATATTAAAAATTGCATGATTTAATTTTAAAATACTAACTAAATCGGATAATATTATATTTAAAATGGGTCCTTTTGGTTATAAATGCAATCAATTTAAGCTTAATATATTTTAAATTTAAATGACATTTTCAGATATTATTATTTATTCCAAAAACTGTAAAATGAAATATTTACAAAAATACAACATTTACATATTTAAAATAAGTAAACACCAAAATGAATAAAAATCAAATTGAGAAGTTTTTAAATTGAGTTTAAAATAATTTTAAGCACTGTCAAATATGTAGTAAATCATCAATATTTACTAAAAATGGTATCTCTTTATTGCAAATTAGATATTTTAAGTTAGTTTAAAGACAGAAACATTTTGAAAAGGAAATAATTCTAAGAACTCATACGACTTGTCATGTAGGTAAATGACCGTGCATATTTTTGTCCGACTCCACTTACGGTCTAAGTGCTAGGCTGGAGTACATTTCGGGAATGTTTTCGGATGTCTCCGGCAAGACCACGTGCCAGGGTTTCAACCACGTGCCAGCGGGTCCAACCACGTCGCCCGTTGACTTTTCATAGATTTAGGAGTACATTTTTCTTGGGGCCACACAGTGGCAGTGGCACTTTACCGCTGAGCCGAACGCACCGCACCGCACACAGTTTTCCGGTGGGTGGATGTGGATATGGATGTGGCTGTGCATGTGGATGTGGATGTGGATGTACGTGGCACGTCCACGTAGCACCACCACTGTCACATGTGTCGCATGCATACATACATATTTACTTGAGCTGCGCATAATGAGCGTTATTTATATTTAAGCAGCTGCGGAGCAGACACAAATCGTAAATAAAACGTTTTAATTTATTAGGCAAATGATAATTCCCGAACGCATAGGCGTAGAAAGTGCCATAAAGCCACTTCGCTATGGTGATTGCTAAACTGGGTGACGACATAGCATACGCTTAGCCCCCAGGACAATCAATCAAATTAACCCAATGCCCAAGGCCAAGTAGCAAAATGTACAAATTGATTTGTTGGCCTTCGGGCAAGGTCAGCCTTTGACGTATTTAGACGTCTAAATTGAATCAGTTAGCGAGGGTGAAGAATTATAATTGAGTAAAGTGAGCAACTAATTGAGCTTGGGCAACCTAAGGGGATTGACTTTGTACGGTGAAAATTAAAGGCAATAATAAACACAATACGCGATAAAATAAATATCAATATTATTGCAGACGCAAATCTGAAACTGAAACCCTTAATTCTACCCCAAATAATCAGAAGAATAAACGATTTTAAGCTAATTAGTAATTTTTATTTTGAAAAAAAAGGTATAATGATGATAATGATAAACGCAAATCGAAATCTACAGGCATAAAATTAGGCACAACTTAATGAAAAGTGAAATAATCACAAGAATAAAATGTTTTGAGATCAATGAAATCTTATACTTTTAAAAATAAAATTAATTAAGGGAAAATTAATAATAAAATAATATATATAGCCTTAGGGACTAGCCTCAACTAACTAGGAAGTTTAATAATTAGAAAAAGAAAACCATTGTAATGACAAATGGCTGGTTAATCTTATCACCTGCGACCCTCTTATGTCCCTTTCTTATAAATTGCATCTTAGGGTTCCATTAGGACTTAGTCAGCTCCTCCTTTTGCCCACAGAGCTTATTATGATAATTGGAAATTATATG